AACTGTGTCTTATAGATGCACAAACAAGCAGTAAATTACAGATTGGGTGTTTATCTGTAATGCCCTTGGCTAACTTCTCCATTTATGGCCTACCATTGTGTCCCTGGGCAACTTTCCTGCCTTTTCTCATGTAAAAAACTGCTGTTCCATGTCTCCAGCTGCTGAGAAATCGATGTTTGGTAAACTTTTAAAAGGTGGGTGCTATAATCATTTAAAATCCTTACAACTCTAAATCCAGAACTTTTAAAGGAAATTGGTTGTTTCGTGCCTGACACGCCTGGGCTTTGATGTCTCGAAAAATAACTTGGAAGATGACTTTCTGGGGTTCATTTGCATTCAGTAAAGACTATAACCCACTTTAAAACAGTTCTGATCAAGTAGATCAGGCTTGCTTTCCAAACTTAATCTCAGCTATCATCTTCCTAACTTTCATTATTTCCCGAGGAAATCTAAAGCCATGTGTTTATCTTCTTTTTCTTCCTCTTTTAAAAATCCAATCCCTCTCCCTCCAAAAAAAACACCACCAAACAAGCAAAAACAAAACTTCCAACAAAAAGCAGCCAACAAACTCACAGAGAACCAGGCAAACAAAAAAACCCCACTTGCATTATTACTTTTGTTGTTAAGGTAACACAGAATAAAAAATTTATCAAAATAGAAGCCCCAGAGTCTTTAGGAATTTCTTGTAATGTGGGAAGAACTGCTTTTATCTGGTACTAATTGTGTGGGGCAATGCTGAGGGATTACTGCATTAGCTCAGTTGGTTAGAACATGGTGTTTATAACACTCTCTATGGGGCATTCATTTAAGAGCAGGATTCCATAATCCTTGTGGGTCCCTTCCAGCTCAGAATATTCTATGATTCTACACTGAATCTGTTAAAACAAATAAGAACTGTGTTTGCCTTCTCAGTACTAATTTTAATATATTCAACAACTTTGTTAACACAAGGCATATTCATAGTCCACGAAGGGAATGTATCTATTGTTGTTTCTTTCAAATATTTTTTTTCTAAAATACCATTTTGTAGTATATAGTCAATTCTTACAAACAGAAGTTTAATGTGGAGGTATTTATGGATCAGCAATGTAAAAGTAAGAAAACATGTAAATAGATTTTTCACTGTTGAGCACCTTATTTCAGTGATCAGCTCGAAGGCCACAAATGTGTTTGATGACCTGATGCTCTGAGTGAGGCAGCAAAGTTCTTTGGTTTTTTTTCCCCCATGTTCTCTAACCTTCTAGTCTAAGGAGTAGGAAACCATTTCCGAAAAAGTTCCTGGACATGGATTTTATCTTTAAAGTTTTATTTGGAGTGTATTTATTTCTTTAGCACTTGCTCCTATGAGAGGAAGGAGTTGAGGAACTGAAAACGATATGGAGAAGGATTTTAACATTATGTGCTTGGCATCTTTATGGGTGAGTTTTTAAATGCTGTAATTTTTAAAAAAAGAACATAATAGAGCATGTGTATGTTTCATTGGAACTGAAAAGTATTTACCCTCTCGGATTCTTACAAATAGATATCATAGGAACTATATAAATGCACACTAATGAGGATTAATGAGCTGTTATGTAAGTTGGTATTTAATTGATTTGGCTAAATATCAGTGTGTAGGAAGAAATGCAATTTTTTAATGCAAGTCATGGTTTTTGCATATGCAAATGTATATGATTGGAGCTCTGTCAATCCCCAACAAATTTCAATGTGGTCTTTTGTGAGATTATAGAAGCCTCTGCCAAGTGTACTTTCAAGTAATTTCTCTGAGTGAATTTGGAATCTAAGATTTCCCAAGAAAGCTTCAACTCATGCAATTTCCTGCCAATTTTGTGAAGTCAGTAACAGGGACAAACTAAGTACACTTTGATATCCACCATAAAAAGCAGTAGAATACTTTTTATATAGTAATACTTTTTTTGAAGACAGTTTTTTGTGTAAGAAGTCTCTATGCTAGAGTGATCAGAGTGATGAATCTACCTTTTACAATTGTCACAAATTTAAAATCTTGCTAAATGTCATGGAGGTAAGCCTATGTCAGAGATTTTCCCCAGCTTGGGTTTTCTTTCTCTGTACTTTGCTTATCATGTCATACATCTTCAGTAGTAAGTACATGTTCACCTTACCAATATATGAACAGTCATCAAATTGTGATGTGAAGCATGTGTCTTTGTAAACAAAAAAATGCATTCAAAAGAACTCTAAAGTCTATGCTGATATTTATTTTGAAGGATATAAACCATGCTAGTAGTAAGCAACATCCAATAGAATGTTGTCCCAAGCCAATTTAACCTGTATTTTGTCTATCCTTAATTTTAAGAACTATTTACAGAAACCATATTTGGTTAAGTTAGTTTTTATTGTCTTCAGTGAATAACTTCAGTCAGATGGGTCTGAATCTGCAGAAGGCATTACTTTTACTAAAGCTTCAACCGAAATTAAATCTGGAATTTGAATCAGTGCCCGGGAGTGATGTCAGCTATAGCAGATTAAATTTGCTAACATCTCTTCATTTTAAATGTGTTTTTAAAACAAAGCAGGTAATTCTTCCAGGCTTTTGCCTTTTAATGTTTTTAGCCTTTGTTTTGGCTGAATGAACCATTATATTTTGGGTTATTACATATTAGCTTTTAAATCTATTTTGTAGTACCTCTACATACAAAAACATGGATTTAGTAGACACATCTCAACAATTATTTGTAAGTAGTAAAATGTTCAATATTTTATCAGTATTTTGTATACCATCATAATTGTTCTTTTATATTTTGAAGGAATGGGTAAAGGGAAAGGCAGAGAAATAATTACTCATGTGCAGTATAGTTTGTTACTTATCCTGAAAAATCAAACAGACAAAATAATTCTTCAAGTCAAGTTGTTTAATATTAAAATCAGTATATAACATGCAGGAAATTGTTAAATAATTCAATTTTCCATCTCTGATAGTACTTTGTATTAGATATATCTGGACAGGATTTTGTACTATTACAAGGTAATTTTGCTTTTGTTCCATCTGGTGATATGCTTATGGTCTGACTAAAGCCTGAAATTTGCTAGCCTTTTTATTTGTGCCCTCTGTCACATTAATAATGGTTGTAATTATTTTTATACTTAATCTGCTAAAAATCTTAGTAACATAATTAAATCAAGTGCATCCTGCAGCAATGAATTCTGCAGGTAAATTGTATTGTCTATATCCTGCTTCTGGAAAAAACGTGAAGTGTTCAAATTTCAAGTACTTCTTTAAAAGAACTTTCAAGTAATTGGAAGTGATAAGTCCCAATTTACTGGAGTGCAAAGCACAGCTTTGCTCATACAGCTTTATCCATGGTGGCAGTACTTGATGTATGTTGGAATCCTGGAGCCCCAGTTTTAGCTGGAAGCAAACTCTGGAGGTCTTGTAGTCAAACATGACCAAGGTACTTGGGGACTTGTCCAGCTGAGCCTTGAACGCACCCTGGGATGGCAATTCCACAGTCCCTCTGTGCAACCTCTCTCATTACTTACCTACTCTCATGATAGAAATTCTCAAAATATTGCAACTTCTTGTGGTAATTTTCCCCCCATATGCCAGAATTTCTCATGTTTCTATTTGCCTATAATCTCCTATAAACGTGCACCTTCGAGAAGCATCTACCTCCATCTCCTCTCTATCCTTTGACTACGTAGTTGTAGCAGGGGAGCAATAAGGACTCCCATGAGCCATCTCTATTGTGAGCTCCCCAATTCCCTTGATATTTCATGGATGATAGAAAGCAGCCTCACAGGGACCCTGCCCAGCTCCTTCAGCACCTCTGGATGCCTCCGATCTGGTCTCATGGATTTGCTTATGTCCAAGTTGGTTAAATGATTCTTCCCTTAATCTCTCTCCGGTGCACACTGCTTCAGTCCCGCAGTGTCTTCTAGAAGGCTTAGGGACTTGGAAAACCTCAGGACAAGCCATTCCACAGAAAAATAAAATGCTCTTTTCTATTATTTTTACGTGCCTTCCGAGGAAGATACTTGGGAATCTTTACCATCCATTTTTTTCCTCTTTTCCATATTGTATCTTGACCTATGTGTGTGTGCACCTCTCTTTCACCAGAGCTAGTAACTGTCTCAGTACTGTGAGAATTTCTTGGCTGAGACCAGTCAGATAAGGCAGGGGGAACAGGTTTGCCATTCTTGCAGAAAAACTAATTGGCTACATTGCACCTATGTAGCTTTAGTATCTGTTGTTCTGTGGGATATTGATGCCTGAGGTGCACAATGCTGAAATAAGGAGGTACAAAGGTAGTCTTTACCCTCTTTCCAGACTTTCGCTTATACAAAAGTATTTTGCTGTCTCAGAAACGCAGAAACAATGTTGGTCTGACTTCTGAAGGCAAGTGTAAGGTGATATCTTTATGTCATGGTCAGTTGTTATTCTTGTGCTCCCACTTTTTTGTCTTGTATACTCATCATAGCACTTGGATAACTTACATTTCTGCTTGTTTGTCTATTTGCCTTCTGTTTGTCTCATAGTTTAGTATAACTTCCCACACCAGCACAAGTTATTTATGAAATTCAGAACGTCAGGTACAAAGTTCTTGTATAACTGCTGGCTGCCTTTTTGTACAAGGTGAGTATATGTTAAGACTGTATTAGAAATTATGTTATCCACTACTACTTAATTTCTCTGGCCTTTTTATCTAGTTTTTCAAAAGACAGAGAAAGATATATTAAAAAGAGCACACATCTTGTGACACATAAGAATTGTGCAAACCTGTGCTAATTTTAGCAATGCTCTTGAGCAATCAGCCTCTCTAGCCCGAAAAGCAATTTACTCTTTAGAATCATTAGTCACATAATTTGGTCAAATTTTAACTGATTTCCAAATATGCCATAGCACAGCTAAGTTAGGAAATTTTACTCTGACTACACTGTTTGCACAACACTTGAGAAGAGTTATATTACCACGTTTTTCAGCAGAAGCCCAAAACAGAACACCTAAGTTTACAGATTTATTAAAATCAGTATGGACTCACCAAAGATTTGCTTTATACAACAGGTAAATTAACTGCTTTTTGGTTGCTTTCAATTTTTGAGGAGATCTTGTTAATCCTCTCATGGTCTGCATTGAGAGATTTTGTAGCCTGAAATAAAAATGTATAATTTAAGATCTTATACCAGGTAAACAAATGCTATGTGTGAACTTCAAAAATTTTTTGCAAGTCTGTTGGAACCTACAATGGATCTTGATGTGTTAAAATATGACTTACTAAATGTACATGATGATTTTAACCTGGACTAGATGCCAGGTTCCCACCAAAGCCTCTCTATCTCTCCACTCCTCAGCTGGACAGGGAAGAGAAAATTTATTGAAAGGCTCATGGGTTGAGATAAGGGCAGAGAGATCGATCACTCAGTAATCACCATCATGGGCAAAACAGACTCAACCAAATCTTAAAAAAACTTCCTCCTATTCCTCCCTTCTTCCTAGGTTTAACTTTATTCCCAATTCTCTACATCCTCCCCCATACCCCTGCCCCCCAGTGGCACAGGGGAGTGGGAATGGAGGTTATGGTCAGTTCATCACAATTTTTTTCTGTCACTGCTTTCTCCCTGGGGAGCAGAGTCCATCTCCTGCTCCAGCATATGGTCCCTCTTATTGGAGGCAATCCACCATGAACTTCTCCAGCTTAAGTCATTCCCACGGGCTGCAGTTCTTCACTGACTGCTCCAGCATGGGACCCTTCCATGGGATACAGTCCTTTAGGAACCGGCTGCTCCAATGTGGGTCCCCCACAGGGTCGCAAGTCCTGCCAGCCAACCTGCTCCAGCGTGGGCTTCTCTCTCCATGGGTCCAGAGGTCCTGGCTGGACCCTGCTTCAGCACAGGCTTCCCACGGGGTCACAGTCTCCTCTGAGCATCCACCTGCTCTGTCGTGGGGTCCTTCAGGGGCTGCAGGTGGATATCTGCTCCACCATGGACCTCCATGAGCTGCAGGAGGACAGCCTGAGCCCACCATCATCTTTACCATGGGCTGCAGGGGAATCTCTGCTCAGAGGCTGGATCACCTCCTCCTGCTGCTTCTTCCCTGACCCTGGTGTCTGCAAGTTTTTTTCTCTCACATGTTCTCAGTCCTCTCTTCTCTGGCTGCAATTTTCTTCTGCTCAATAACTTTTTCCTCTTCTTAAACCTGTTGTTCCAGAGGCACCATCAGTGTTGCTTGGATTGGCCAGCGGCAGGTCTACCTTGGAGCCATCTGGCATTGACACTGTTGAACACAGAGAAAGCTTCTAGAAGCTTCTCAGAGAAGCCACGGCTGGAGCTCCCCTATTAACAAAAACTTGCTATGCAGACCCAATATGTCATATCTTTCTCCTGTCATTTTCCGTCACGATATAGTAAATATTTTTCATATCCTCATGTGCAGTCATCTTTTAAACGCAACAACAAAACCAGGTCACATTGCCAAGTGATGTTTGATAATACTAATTGTTAGATTACAATATAAACACTGCACCTCTTTTTTTGTATCTATATTGGTAATTATGTGTTTGACTTGAAAGATTCCCTGAATTTAGGATTTTTGAAATTTCAGAGATTATGCTGTTATTCCTTTATCACAGAAAAAAAAAAAAAAAAGAAAGCTAAGTTTGAGTTACAATTTCAGTTTTTCCTTTTCTACAATAGTAGTCAGATAACTGCCCTAATGGTCATCATTTTGGCATCAAATGTTGCCCTGAAATTGTTTAACAGTGTAAAGGTGCTTAAAATAGTTCTGAACTAACAATCAAACAGTAGTTCTCTGTTTTTTTTCTTACATGTTCACCCAGGCCATTTTGTAGCCTAAAATAAGAAGAACCTCTTTGTCTATCCTTTGCTCATCATTTATTAAAAGTCACATAAGTAATCTGATTGATGAACCCATCAATGTTGGAAGGTATCAAACAGACGATACATTTGCAGACCACTGGTTATTTAAAAAAAAATAATTGCATGAACTTAATCTTTCTGACTAAAAATTTAGTAACTTCACAGGAAACAGCTGTGGCAGCACAGAAAATAGAACTATTTGAGAGCTCAGCTGGGATACTCAGGCTAATTTCACAAAGGAGATTAGAACATGATCTGTAGAATGGACAAGAGGAAGCAATGTGTTGCAGAGAGGGTTTATAAGGCAAGAGATGAAAATGGAAAAAGATCCTATTACTGGAAGTTGGAGCTAAGCCAGTTGGAAATGAGGCACAAGTTGTTAGTAAAAAGAATAATTAAACACTAGAATGATTTAGAAACAGGTTTGGTTCTCTCCTGTTATCATCTATAACCTGTAAAATAAAAAGAAATAGTGTTTTGTAAAGATATACTTCAGTGATACCATTGCTTTTGAAAGCCATTTGGAATTGGTGAAACTAGTGGGCTAATCTGTGTTCAGCAATGCATGTGACTGCATGAAACAATGTACTTGTTAGCTCACAGAACATGCACATGCTGCTTTCCACAGCTACTTTCTGGAGAGTCAGAAATACTTTTATTTTGAGTGAAGTACCAGATACAACTTACTGTTTTGTACTATTAGCAATTAGTACATTAGGACTGCTCCATCACTAATGCATTTGGCATTAAGAAGTCAATTAAGAATTCAATTGCTCCTCTGGTCTCAGGTTTGAAACTGCAAATGTGGGTTTTTTTGCTGGCCTCCACTAACAGTCAGCCTTTCAGCATATGTTTAATGTTCAATTGCTCAAAGGTCAATAAAGTAAAAGTTAATAAGCTAGGTAATTAAATGATGCTTTTAGAATTTGTCATTCTAAGCAATATATTGTTTAAGAAAGAAGCAAACATGGTTTTTTAAAACTCGACATTTTGGGTTCTTCTATATTGGAATTCACATATTTCTCTTCTAATTTTTGTTTGAAAAATGACTGCATGGACATTGAGACCAAATCGTTTGAAAAATGATTTGAAAAACTTGACAGAGATATATTTTGCCAGCACAATTTAAACACTTAAACTTTACCTTTATACTTTGTTTGAACTTGCATGTTCCAGTAATATCAAACATGCTTAAGTGATACTAAACATCTGACTGTCAGCAGAGTTTTGTTCTTGTCATTAATCTTTTTCCATTCTAGACTGCTGAACTAATTTTAAAATGTGCTGCCAGTTTTTACCATCAGTTTAACACTCCACTCTACTGTTAAGATATTTAAAAGCCAAAAGCTGGAATACATCTTGCTGAAATTAAGATTAAAATGCAGAATATGTTAAGAAAAGGCCTTTTCAAGTGCACTTAGATTTTGAGTTCTGTAGCAGTTCCCCAAAGTTTGGAGGTTCTGAATAGAATAATTCTGAATCAGGTATTATTGTGCATATTGTAACAGGTACAGGAGAGCGACACCAAATGTGCAGTAGATACTCGGGGTTATGATCAGAAGGTCTCATGTCTCAAAGAGAGTGTCTTTGCCCTTCTCTCCTGAAAGCTCAGATTTGCAATTCAGGTTTGGAAGGAATCCTACAGGGGGTGTGATGATTTGATTCCACCTGTTTGGGTTCAGCTACTTGTTGAAAGCTTCTGTACAGTAAAACTAGCTATGGTCAGGGTAGGTTCCCGAGTTTACCTCTTTAATTTGAGATGAAGAGACTTTTTTTCTCTTCTGGTATCTGTTCTGTTATAGTCTTTCATAAATATCAAGAAACATTTTCTTGTTGCTGTGGTCCTTGTGTAAGTAACATTTATGAAAAGGGAATGATTTTCTTGTTTTCTTTGTGGAGTTGCTCAAAACGAATGCTCAAAACAACCTCTTTTAGACAATAATTAGCTGAAACAACTTTGCTCCATATTACTTTTGTCTATACATCTTGCCACCATGGACTAGTAATTTTCTTTACACGATGCAAGTCAGTAGAATACACTGGTAAATGCTTTGCCAAATCTAGATTTCCTATTTCCTATTGTTTCATATTCCTTGTTCTCACTTTCTTTCTCTAGTTATATGCAAATACCAATAAATTAGCAGTTACAATTTTTCACAGTTAACCACAGCTTTTGTGTTCAAATGACTTTTTACCACTACCTCTTCTGTGCATGATTATCAAAAGTATAATACCTCCTAAAAAAGGGATGAATACATCTGAAATGTGATAAAATAGGCAGTGGGCTCTGACAAAAGGAGCACAACTAGCCTGGAACATTTGTATTTATTCTACAACTGTTTATTCTTCACTGTGGGGGCAGTCTTGCCCTTTTTGACATTGTAAAGTAGCAATCTCATGTTGTTACAAAGTACACCATTATCCTTGTGATTTTCTGTGGCAATTTCAATTTATTATTTATTATTTCAATGCTGCTGCCAATTCTAGAACGGTTTCCGCTCATAGCAAAAAGTACCGTATTAGTTTCATTGCCAAACTGTTTCCTAAGAAGTCCCTAAAAGTTAGTGTTTGTTTCATGAATGTTCCCCCTCAGCTTCAACTGATGCTTTTCAAAACCAGTGCCAATGCATTCTAAATAAAGAAGTTAAAAGTCACCAAACCTTAAAAATCTGTAATCTCTATTTTCTTAGGTTGTGCTGGTTGCCCTGTGACCCTGTATGAGCTACGTGCAATTACTGTTTTCAGAAAATTGAATCCAATTTTTAGTTGTTTTCTATAGTCTCCTCCCTTTTTTTTTTCTTAAGTACTACAATGAAAAACTGAAAAGTTATGAAAGAGTCACTTTTAAGGGGAAGTATGACTGAAGAAACTCTGAGAACTATTTTGTATTTCCCATTCTTTTCTTCATTTACATCTGCTTTGTTCCCTGTGCCCTATGCATGAAAGTTACTGTTTAGCTTAAATTACCAGTGAATTTCTGCTGACCAATATAAACATACCTGGAGAAAGATGTAGCATGCAACTGCCAGCTGAGCATCTACCTTCCAAAGCATGGCAAGATGTTCCTTTAATGACCATACCTTTAACCATTCTTTTGCTTCATGTCATTTGCTGACAAGCAACACACTTTCTACTGAACATTTGATTTCTTTGTGATTGACTGCTCTCTGTTTTCAACATTTTTCAGACTTTGATTCTAAGGTTTCTTTCCAGGTCCAGCTGCTCCAAAACCACTCCCTTTATCTTCTCCTGTTTTTCTACTTATGATGCAGTAGCGAGTCTTCCTCTGCAGTTCTCTTTGTTTGGATTATTCATAGTGCACTTCTCATGCATTACACATCTCTACATTTATTCATTTTTTTCCTCTCTCTCCATCTCCTAGACTTTTTCAGGTTGTTTGGTTCATTGAATTAAGTGAACGATTCAATGATTCTAAATCGAGTGAAAGATCATATTCAAACTAAACTTGAAAATAGATGTGTCTAACAAGGCATCTGGACATCTAAACTGTGTGGACTGCAGTGAGGTCCTAGATAACATGAGTGCAGATTTGAGATGTCTGCTTTAATGAATCGAACTTGGCACAGAATTGGTCTGTGAACACTCACAGTCATGACAGATTTTTGGTGTTGGTGACCTCTAGTAAGCGGCAGTACTGAACAATCAAATGTGACAAGGTCTTAATATGTCATAACTAGGTGTGCAAATATATATATCTATTTGTACCCCGAGGTTTATCAGCTAATTTGTATGCAAGCTTTCATGAGTATTTTTTTTCACTTTTAGTTGCCTAAAAGCTTTGATAAACCTGACACCATGTTCATTACCAATATGATATGCTGTGCACATAGCAAAAATAGAAGGCATTTTTTTCCTCCCTGCTATACTTTAAGTTGGTACTTGCAGGACACATAAAGGAATATAAATTCCTTAGTGATTATTTGAACAAACCTCAAATGAAATAAAGCATATGTAGCAAAAAATACTAAAGTAAAAAAAAAAAAAAAAGAAAATGTTCCCTGTTGGGTCTCCTTATTTAGGTCATCTAAGCACTGTTACTGTATCAATCAACTCTTTTACCTACTTAATTGAGTCAATGCCAATGCACTGTGTAGACCATATGCATAGCTCTTTAAAGTTGCTATTCCTCAATTATGTAACTGTACTAATTTTATTAATATATTCTGAGGAGAATCTGAAAATGCAAAATTACTGTAACATCAGTATTTTGCCATCTGCAGATTGCTGGAGATCTATATATTTAAATAAAGTCCGTGAACTTCAGTAAGACCAGGTATTTTTTCTTCCTCTGCTGCACTTCTTATTGATTATTAATTCAGACATTTGGGCATTGCAAGCAAGCTGGAAACTCTGCTTCTGCAAAAGGAGATTGCATGTCACTTCCCAAATGCCAATTTAATAGACAATGAGGAGGGCAGAAGGAGGCAAGAGGACAACAAACCATTCCTTTTCTGCAACGGCAGAATTTGAGCGATGTCCTATCTCAGGTTCACAAAGCACAATGTAACTAACACTCGAGTGCACTGGCAGGTAGTTCTTCAGTGATTTACCTCTGTTATTTACAATGCTGTTGAACTCTGTCTTACCCAGCAAATAAATGCAATGCTGTACCTGCTAAAATTAAATGTGTGTTAGTGGTTGGTAGAGCAGGGCCAGGATATACAGTATACAAACCTAATACTTGCTGTCGCTATTTACAATAAATTTATCTTATCTTTTTTTAGGGTTTATTTTACTTTGGTTTTTTACTTATGTTTTCAAATTTTTTAATTGGTTCATGGACCTCCTGCAGCTTCACTGCAGGGAATTTGTGTTGTCAGGTTTGGAAGGATGAGTATTGGTTTGACAAGTCACTCTGCAGGTCTCCTGATACTTCCTTATTTTCCATGTGTCATGAGTTAGATGTTTTAGAGATTAATTTTAAACAAAGCAGCGTATTTAATTTCCCTTCAGGAGCAGAGAATTTATTTTTAAAAACCCTCCAGTTCTCCTCATCAAAACCTGCATGATCCCTTTCCTGTTTCTATAGCTAATTAACTGATCTAGCTGCAGGATTTTCCCAATTTCAAGGTAAGGTTTTTCATTGCAACTGTGTGATACAGTGTAACTGTAAAGGTCTCTCAATATTGAAAAGCCAACCTGCTTTCTTTACTGGTGTGTGTATTGTAAAATTATTCTTTTGCATTGCTATTACTACTGAAGGGAATTATTTTTAGATGAAAGAAATGGAGTGTAGTGTAAGTTTTCCTGTCTGAGGATTAAGTGGCACTGGGATAATTTTATGATTTCCATAACTAAGGGTGAATTTAATTATTTCTATTTTAATATATCTCCATATTGACTAATAGAGGCTTTCCTTTAGTGTTGACTTTAGCATGGAAATTTTAAGCTGAAATCTAAAAAATAGAAAAATCTGTGGTCAAAGGGCAAAAAAGATTACTGGGTTTTTTTAGGAGGAAGGTGGACTGTAACAATACCTTGCTGGGACTGCACAAACAATGGGTTAGGTAAGGCAAGAACAGAAAAGTGAAACAGGAACAGGAACTGCAAAGATGAAAACTATTAAGGAGAATTTATCATTTCAGGTTCTGTCTCTCTGGTTGGCTTGGCTTCCTAAAGTAGCTGCTCACTGTTCAGTATTCTGGATCTTCTTTAGATGTTGCTTGTAATGAACAGGCACAGATCTGTATTTCTGAGCAAGTCATGCTGTCTGTAATTCCTCCCCTGATCCCCTCATGGCTATGATCAGACTGTATGTCTGGTTGTTCTGTATTCCAGTGGCACAGGCCTGTGCTTTCTGCTCTGGATCCCCACTTGCAGCCAGGGGTGTGTAGGCATTGCTTTGGGTCCGTCATTCCCAGCCGCTGTGCCTGCCTCCTGCTGAGCTGGAGGAACGAGGTACGCTCAGCTGCTTCATTCTCCGAGTGTTATTCACAGAAACGAAGGGAAGGAAAGGTCCCTCCTTTCCCAGTGTCTCCATCAGGATTTTTTGTTTGTGTTTTCAAGATAACAGTATATCTAAAAGTTCTTGTTTTATTTGTTTTAGATGGTTTGTTTCTCTCTCCTTAAGGACATACAGGACAATTTCTCTGGCAACTTTCTTGACTTGCAAATGCCTTATCTATCTGTTTTTAAGTGTTTCCTGCTCTTTCTTTCATTTTCAGAGATAAGCTTTCATCCTTCAGTGTCATCTCTGATGGCTTGCTTTATTCATTCTCAGGATAAACCTTTGGGATGGAGGCTGCTTTCTTTGTCCTTTGCTTAGGCCATGCCAGGTGCTTTTGCTGTAGAAATTTTTATTATTGCAGTGGCAGGGTCCTTCAGGGAGTTTTTACAATTTTTTTTAGTGAAGTTCTGGTGACGTTAACAGGTGTGTCTTCATTTACAATGATGTTGTTTGGGCAATTTGCACTTTCCTTCCTTCCTGAAGGATATTACCTTCTCGTTATACTTTTCTCCACTAAATCAAAGCAATATGTTTTCAACACTGATTTCCTTGTGAGGGAGAGAGAACAGGTTGCAAATACCACTTGGTTGTGTTTTTTTTTTTTTTTTCAGTGTAGAATTGGACAACGAGAGCTGGAAATACTTTATGAGAAAAAAAGAGGTTCTCAGAATTTCCCTCTGTCCCTGGAGGTTTATGTGGTTTCTATAAATACTTAATTTCTTCATGTTGCTTCAAATATTCAGCACTTCAAAGTCAGGGAGAGGCCAGATTAGTGTGAGATGTTCTCATTAATTATTCCATGGAAGGATATTTATACTTTTTCTTACAAACTTTGTTTGGACTTCATGCATAACAGGATTGAAAAGTTTGGAAGCTTTTAAGTGGTTCAAAGATACTACTACTGCCTTTGACAAAATAACTGCTTTACAGTTTTAAAAAAAACCAAACTGTTTGTGTTTCTTCATTGTTGCCTTATGATGCTGTTTAAAAATTGTGATTTTGCTCTTCCAGTGACTGTTTTTCAGATATTGTTAGTGAATTTTACGGGACGGACTCTTGTGTGTCAGTGTCAGGAATAATGCAGTGAAAGTCCATTAATTAATAGCAATTTAAAAATATGTATGTGTTAAATCCACAGAAGTAGTGGGCATGTTTAATTATCCACCTGAAATCATGGTGCAAAAGATGCATCTCAAACTGGTTTGTAAATTTCATAGGGTGTATTTTATCTCTATAATGTATGTAAAAGATGTCCTAGAGAAAGACAATTGATTCGTAAATTCTGGAGTGTTAGGATTATTTCAAAGCAGTGATATTCTTTTTTATTTTATCTGTAAAAGCTTGAATACTTAGTAGTATTATCCATTTCTGCCAATTGCATCATATGGGAACCTCTCATCATCTCACATTGTTTGTAAAATTTAACACAGATAAAGCAGTTTAAATAAAGCCATACTGAGATATGCATCCCTTACCTTTAGGCTCATTCCAGTCCCACTCTGAGGATGCTCATCCTTACTTTTCCATCGTGGACCTAAAGCTCCTTTTCCCAACTGGCAGTGGCACCAGTAGCTGACAAAGCTCAGACATATTTACTCCCACTTGGCACACTCCTCTTTGCCTGGCTTCTTGTACAGCTCTTAGTCTGATTGAAACAAACATGATCACTGAGATAAGTCTGGATATATTTGATTATTTGGCTGCTGCTTCAGAAATGAAGATTGTTACTGACTCACCGAGCAAGACAGGTGCTATTTACAGAGTGGAGAAGCTGCTCTGCAAACCCAAGTCTGTGACTGAGAAAGCAGCAAGGAAATCCTCTCCTTTGCCCTCTCCAAACCCTGACTTTGGCTGTACAGCTAGGTTCTTAGGTTTGCATTTGAAAGGCAGAGAAAGCAATCTGCTGCAGATTGATGTACTGATTAGCCCTCAACCCTTTTGCTGTTTGCATGCACTGAATTGTTTTCCTGCTGGCAGACACACAGAGTTCAGCATCAGATTTTGACACACATGCTACTGTCCCAGAAGATTCACAGAGCGGGCTATGTTGCAGCTGCTGCATTTTCCACCAGTTAAATTGACAGTTACCTACTGTGTGGAGTTGCTAGGAGAAGGTGAACAGTCATCATTACAGCATATTCCTTCAATAACCTGTAGCGCTCTCTGATTTCTCTTCTGCAGGGATTTATATGTCTTTGCTGCAGACTGAGCATTTGTATAGTCATATTTTTTTTGAGAGGCTGGTAGATATTTATTCACTAAGAAACAATTCAGCATCAACTAAAGAGAGGAAAGCTCTGGCATTCGAACATATACTCTTTTTGTAGGGTGATGTGGCTGATACTGGCTTCTACCATCTGCTTTCCTATTGCAGCCTGTTTCTCCAACCTGCAGAGCACAAACCAGCCTTTCTTTTCTTCTGGATTGTTAAAGCCATTCACATTTATCCTGCATGGCAATGAATTATAGTCCGTTTTAAGGAATCTTTTGTGCTTCTGTGTGTATTCCTACAGCAGAAAAAGTGCATGAGAAAGGAGCTTGAGCAGCCAGTAGTATAGTAGCTGGCTCACCCGTATGGATTAGACTCGTGAGGTCAGAGGAGCTGTGTGTACTTGCTCTGTGCTTGGGGGGGAAGAGTGGATTTGTCTGTCAAAGTGAATAGCGATTCAGGCAGGATCGTCCCTCCGCTGTTGTAATTCTGATGTGTTTTGATATGACAGCAGCTACTGTCTAACATGCGTGGATCTTCTGAAATTTGTAGTGGACTAAAGACTGCTTTTACTTGCTGCTGAGCCTGACTGTAACTGTATCGCTGTAGGACAATAACGATGGGGGCTCGAGCGACTGAAACAACTCGGGAACTGGAAAGCGCCTCTGCAAAGTATCAAATAGGAGGACATGCAGAGAAAATGTGGCAACGGCTCAAAGGAATGTGAGTAGCTTCTCTCCCTGGCTTTTGTTCTATTCCTTGGGAAAGATAGTTTTCTTCTGTTTGTTAAAATGACTAATTAGCAAATGAGAGACCTTTTTTAAAGCTGTGAATACTATTTGCTCTCGTAATACAGTACATCACTCTCATTTATGATGGTACTTAGAATTAATGTCAGATTGTATAAGGTTCAGCCACTTCATTCAAAAGATGTATAACTAGTTATTGTCATTATCCAAATTAAAATGCAGGTAAGTCCTTTTCACTTCCATAGCTCTGATATGATTTTGTAAATGTTATCTTCAGAATCAGCATTTCTGGAGCTGTTTCATCATTTCTGTCGGTGTATACAGGTAAGTAAATTACTGCAATTCTATAGGAAGTATTGGTACTTTGCCTTTTGAATGTGCTAGTAAAGAAATCTCATATTAAAAGGTGGTTAGCTTAGTAGGTTGCTGTGTCTCTGTTTTTTTGTCAATTACTTTGATGTGCAATAATGCTAGAAACTGATTGAAGGACTATTTGAAGGGACCACTTATGCACCTGCTGCGTCTAATCCACTCCTCTCAAATGCAATTTTCACTGTAAACTTTTGGATCGGTAAATAAACATCTGCAGCCTGTTGGAGAGAAACTCTATCAAACTAGTGTGTCCTAAATCCCTCAAACTTCAACACCTTCTCTTAAGTATTTGCCTGGTTTTTGCTCTGAAAGCTGATGTTAGGATGTTACAAATAAATGCATGTTACATTTGTTGCTTTGGAAGCAAGGAAATGGCACTCTTGTTTTTGCTGGAGAGACTTGAAATACTGGGTTTCTAAAGGTATTCCACAGATGCTATATATGCCTCAGCTGCTGAAGGTAAACAGGTTATTTACAGTGCTGAGGATTATGATGCATTGGCTATGGCACTGCCCATTTCCCCTGTGCATTGGGTAGAAACTCAAACTGGCTGTGGGGAAGGGGGTTTCCACCATCTCCTTTCTTTCAAGAGAAATTGGTTTGCTTCATTGGAAAGTCACTTTTCAGCTATGGCCAGGGGTTTATCAGATCTTCTCTGTGATATGCTTTTGAATATTTTCTTACACTTTGGTAACAGTTTTTCTTCTAGAAACCCCAAAATGCACAGAACAGAGCAAATATTTTGCTCATTTGCTGATGCCACACATTTTGCCTCTGAGTTTCCCCTGCTGGAGACCTCCATCAGTTTGTGCAGATTTCCAGAGGGTCTGAGCTACTGCGTTTTTTGGTTCTACAAGTTCTCTGTTACCTTGGGTTGAAACATTTCGTTTCAGCTGCCTCTGAGATGGTACCGTTAAACTAATGTAATAACTAAACTATAATGTAAATAACTAAACGTTGATGACACTCAGCACAAGAGCTTCAGGTAATAAGGTTCATGCGTTAGGAGTAGTTAAAACAGTATTCGGAGTTTGTGGTGTATCAAAATCAAATGGAGCTTAAATGTTTGAAAACCATGCATCTTTCAGAGGTTAGTGCCAACCTTATGACTGTTGTGACAAGATAGTGCTAAAATACTTGTATTCTGAAAAAAAACCCAGGTTATATTAGGTATATTAGATACATACTCAGCTGATTGTTTTTATTCTCTAGTCAATTGGAAATCACTGTCTAGTCAATATTACAAATTTTATATGGGGAAATTTCAAGAGTTTAATTTTTTAGAGCTCACTTTGTAGTGTAAGCATCAATCATTAAGGAAAAGGATGCATTTTGCTGAGGCACAGATATCAAAGTAGAAGCATGTTTATATGTGGTAAAAGAGAGGGACAGATAAGTGGGACTGCCACAGTTAATCAGGCTTGGGAAGAATTCTTTTATAAATTGTCAGTCAGGAGAATTGTTTCGTCTTAGGGATAGGAACTGTTAGTGAAACTGAGTATGTATGATGGCAAAGTATGGGGTCTTTAAAGTAGTGTGCAGCAGTATATCTACACTGAAGTCAAGACTTTATGGTTTGAATTACGAAACTGAATCTGTTCTTGCTGATAGAGTACAGAGATCTACATAATTTTCATGTGATTTCAACACAGTTCTACTATATTTTGCCAGTCAAGAGTACTGATTACCTTTTTGCAAGTGGGTCATTATTTCTGAAAGAACATTGGATTTCATGGAGGTAGCTATCTGGATAGAAGCTGTATAGCCCTGACTTAAAATCAGCTTTTATTTTCTCTTAGCATTTCAGCTTTTCACATAATAGACTTTTAATTATGGACTTGGCAGCAGAATTCCATATACATTTAGCCTCAAATGTCTTGAGGTTATTGTTATTGGTTCATTTTTTTTTCATTCATTTTTGCGAAATAGAGACTGTTCTATAAGATACATGAGTTGAATACACTTAAAGCTAAATGAAAATCCTTATTTGAATGCCTTATAAAAAAATCTGGGTATTGTGGATGCTTGAATGAAAGGGATTTTTTTATAGATTTTCTACTCCATAGGCTTGCACAGACTTTGCTCACCTAAGTGCTGCAATATAGGCTAGGATGTTTTGAATAAAATTAAAATGATACCTAACTTTTATTGTATGCAGCCCTACAGCCAAAGTCTGTCTTCTGTATGGCAAGTAAAAATCCAACTCTATTTTCTTTATATTGCAATTGCAGCAGTGCTGCAACCAAGGACATTATCTGTCAGAGAAGATATTAATTTGAATTTCATAACTTGATCCCTAGCACTGGTGCTGATTTTATTGATACCTGAGTGGGTAAAACACAAGCTCACTGAAACAAGACTTAGTTGTGGAAATGGGTCGTGTATGTTTCTGTCTTGACTGTAGCTTCTGGTCTTTGAATTAAATATTGTCAGTATACAGACCGCAAGCTTCTAGTGTTTTGTACTTCATGGAGAAAGAAAAAACAAATAAAGAGGGACTGTTAAATAACTTACATAATACTGTGGCTTTTATAGTTCTTTGTTATGCAGAGGAGTAAGAACAAAAGCCATTCAAGCTACTGCAGGAATTCCAGCTGCCTGACTGAAAGGGGGTGTTGAACACCATCCACTTCAGAAGACATCTTGTCACTGCCCAGCCAACGGGCTCCTTCTCAGGCCATTTAACGCCACTGGTTACACCTTTTCTCCCTCAACCTTTCATTCTCTATTGGATGGAATCTTACTATGGACAGTAACTAAATCTCCAGCTTAAATGTATTTTGGTGTCAAGAGGACCAAAAGATTTGCTGCCTAGGAGAGTTTGTCTTCACGTGCTGATAGAGCTTGGTAGGGAGCTCAGAAAGAGAAGCAGTTCTTTAAAGAATTTTGGTTCAGAATGCCGAGAACCAGACGTGAAGCAGAGCTCTTTATGCTTACTGACCTTTCAGGGTTTGGTATTCTCCTTCATCTGCAGGTAGACTTGACTTAACTCTGTGTTCTTCCTTGCGTGAAAGTGTCTGTGTGTGATATATGTTGTCTATCTGCCACTTCACTCAGTATTAACACAGAACTGTCAGATATCCCCCTGCCATCCTACTTTATTTTGCAAGTTGACATTCTCTTTACAAGTAGCTTCTTGTACCCCTCTCATTGTCAAACACAATACTAGGGGTGGGTCACATTTCTGAAGTTTGAGGTCATTAGTGAGAAACTGGTTTTCATAAATAAGCATAAGTGCTAGAATTGTCTCTAAGAAGCCAGAAAATCTCTGAAAGGGAAAATTCAAAATCCAAAGTCCCAAGAGTCTGGGAAATTGGAGTTCACATGTGGTTAGTATAGGCTAGTTTATGAATTTTTTACTGATTTAAAGAGAATATGTGTTATTGCTATCACTGATTAAAACTAATTTGTGCTAATTTGGATGGCAAAAGGGATTTGAAGAAAAGCATAAGCTTCTTTCCTTACATTCTTCCCTTTCTTTGCTGCCACATCCAACATAATAACCCCCAACTGCTGCAGAAAGGAGAGTCTAAACTTTTAGACACTAAAAGGGATGTATTTGCAGACGCAGTTTGTTGATCCTGCAATGCTGCAGTGACAAATTGCGTGCATACACATTTATAGAGACAAAAGGGGCATTAGTCATTGATTTGAGGAAATTTGGCTTGATGTCAAGGAGAGTAGAGAAATGGCTTCCTCCTCACTGCTGAATTATCAGAAGACAGAATTCTTTTAAAGGCATCAAATAGAATCCAGATTAGCAGCCTGTTGGGTCAAAAGGGACCAGAACACCCAGTTATTTTTTCTCTAGGTCTGTGGATACTGGTGGAAGAGCTATAGAACAGTGTCCAGAACCAGACATGGCAAGGAGGACTTTCCTTTGTTTTTCTAGGTTTCTTGTTCACATTTTATTTTATATGATATTCGATGTTTGTGTTTGCTTATTGCCCTTTTTTCTATGCTCTATTTGCCTAAACTGATAGTTTATTAAAGCTTAACTAAAGAGATTATCATTAGCAAAACTTAACATGTTATGATATAAAGATTTATAAATTTGTGAGTTCTGAACAAATGAAAAGAGAAGAGGTAGAATTACAGGTAGATAACTATGATAAAAAATAGCAAGACAGATTGTCACTTACTGATAGGTACATCGGGAACAAGTGGGTTCAAGTAGTTCTTGTAATTTTGCCTATTTTTACTTTTTTTAAATGTAAAAACTTTTCTTTAAAGAAAAATCATAAACTCTTAAAAGTAATCCAAATGACAAATATTTCTAAGGGGACTTTTAGTAAAACTAAAGTTGATTTCAGAAATGCTCTGAACAGAAAATTGAAGAAATTATATAATGATGTACCTGTTGATTGATATGTATCTTATTGGTGCTATGATTACAGTAAGAATAGTTTAATTATGAATTGTGAACAGCTTTTTTTGATTCTGAAACCAAAGTCTGTTTCTGCACCTGAGTAGTCAGGTAAACAATTTATAATCATAACTTTGTAGCTTATAAATATGTATTTAATTAAATGTATGATACGATAAATTTAGAAATTTCCAGAAATCTAGATATTTTAGCTACTTAGCAATTTAGAGAACTCT